CAGGGCCAATACATAAACCGGTGGAGTTAGTTCATTTGGTGCAGTACGTGGACATTACCTCTTTGACAAGTGACGTCATACGTCGATGGACCGATCGTGATCCCAAACTAGTCTCCGTGATACGTTTCACGAAACTTGGCTGGCGTAGTTGAATTCCGGCTGAATTGAAATCTTTTGGGTTTCGAAAATATGAGCTGAATGTACAAGACGGATGCTTACTTTGGGGCTCACGTTCGGTTCCACCGTCGAAAGCATGCTCCTTCAGTCTAAATGAACTGCACAATGGATATCTAGGTGCTTCCCGAATGAAGGTCCTTGCACCTGGCTATTGCTGGTGGCCCGGCTTAGATTCCGAACTGGAAAACTACCTATAAACGTGTGATCTATGTCAAAAATATCAGTCAAATAAACCTCCAGGTCCAAAACATCCTTGGCATTGGCCTGAAAGAACATGGCAGCGTATCCATGCAGTATTTTGGTCCTTTGAACGGAACATTTTCCTGTTGATAGTCGATGCTTACTCGAATTGCATCGATGTTTATACAGTGTCTTATCCTACGGCTGAAACAACCATTTCAAAAATGTGCTCGTTTCCGGTTTTCAGAATATCTGAAACTGTTTGTACAGATAATGGGTCCTGTTTTACCAGTAAGGAGTTTGAGAGCTTTATGCATAGCAATGGCATTCAACACGTGCGTACCGTTCCACATCATCCTGCATCAAATGGATTAGCCGAAAAGGCGGTGCAGACGGTAAAAAGCGCTCCGCTAAAGCAGTTATCGGGAATCATACAAACTCGATTAGATCGATTATATTTTGCCTACAGAATAACTCCCACAGAAGCCATGGGTAAATCCCCCCACAGAACTGATGTTCCGTAGAACACTGTGCTAGATTACACCTATTATTTCTTAATCGTCGAGCGCAACTAGAAGCGAAACAAAACAAGACAGCTACGTTGGACAGGAGTCAAGATGTCGTTTTCCAACCGGGAGATTCTGTGTATACACGACCTACCCACGAACAGTCACGGAATCCTGCAACCGTGGTCACAAGTGATGGTACCCAGGCTGACCTGGAGTTAAATGGTCTCGTCTTGAGGCGGCATTCAGATCACATACGTCCGCGCTATGAAGAAACACGAGAAAATGAAGAAAATATATCTGACTCAGTTAAACCGACGGTGGAAAAAACCACTCAGGATAAAGCGTAAACAAAAAACGTCCACCACTTCGTGGACCTCAACGTGTGCCTAAACCTGTTGAACGTTTCGTTCCCGGTAGAAGACTTTCTCCAAGAAGGGATGGGATGTTACATCCGACGATGATATGGATTAGTTAGCTCAGCCATACCGCGTTCTTATTGGTTTACCTCTAATGGACCAATCAATAGTTCTTCACTCATACTTTAACTCGTATGTTATGTGAGCCATGTTGCAGTGCTTCACCCGATACACTCTGGTTCGTACTGTGGCTTGTTTTTGTCTAACTGAGGTCTGGAGGCATGCTTGCTTGAATTTTTTGCTATGTATTAGTCCTTCATTTCGTTTTCGTCTAAATCGATAAGGTCTTAATTACCAGTACCACACGAAAAGGGTACCTGAAGCATCTTCAAAATGTATGTAACCGTTGCACTCATCAGCGGATAACAGTTTGACTGACCATGAGTTGATCTTTCTGACCACATAATCAATAGTACGTGCATCCCTGAAAAACCCAAACAATGAAGGACTACCCTAAGTAGCTTCCTTTGGCAAGGCGAATTATTGTGGACGCTAAAATCACAACAGTGTATGCGACTCGAAGGCAGGGATTCAAATAGTTCATTGCGCGTGTAGACCGGTAGAACACTACCGCACAGCAAAACAGGGCAAGAATGGAAGAAAGAATAACGATCTGAAACCATTGGTCTACTTCCGATTACTCAACGCGGACTTAAAAACCGGTTGGTTTGTACAGTGGTTCTGCAACCTTTATCCCAAATAGTGTTTGTTGCAGTTGAAACGATGAGCCATACATTTACTCGTCCTCCTGTGCCCCATGCGAACCCGTATCTCAGACCCAGTCCAAACCACCTACCGGACCATTTAATAGTGTTGACTCAACAGTAGGATAGAACCAAGTAAACAAATAAGCAGTAATCGCTTTAGCAGCATAGTTGCCACCTCGATTGATGGCGGCTTGTAAAGGAAGTCGTTGCTTTGAGGGCCAGCCCTGTCCTCTGCACATTCAGCAAATGCAAGACAGTGGACGATGAGTCGTGTTATATCGCAGTCATGGCGGTCCGCTGTTGTCGTCCATGGATCAGCGACATAAGTCGCTGACTCGCAAGAGTAAGATCGTGGGTTCGAGTCCTGCAGGATTCGAGTCCCAATAGGATGGAACGGCCGTTTAGCGCGTTCCTGAATGTGTGGTGACTGTCTGCTTGTGTCTAACTGCGACGAAGCTACACAAAAACCTAATAAATCCCCTACTAGTTACAAGTAAACTCGAGGTTGTACACAGTACTGGCACTAAAGGTTCCTGGCTCCACAAGTATAGCTAAATTCACTAGTGACAAGAACAAGGTACCGTTTGATGATTCAATTCACTGTTCCGGGTATGTCGCCGCAGCTGGTGTACCTTAACGTAAATCTCACGAGCAGATGATGGGTGTTAACACGTCTGACGAACGGCATACTTTGTTTGGTAGACGGTTCCCTTGTAGCCTAAATGATGTGTATATCCGATCCGAGCGATGTTCCTGAATCTTTGACGAAAGGTACAAACTCGATTGGTCTTGAGCTCTCAGGGAATTTGACAAGCACTCAGGTACATGAACTGAGGTGATTTCTAGAGACAACTATGTGCATCGAAGCAAGATATTACTCTCGGGCACAAATCGAACTACAAGCCATGCCCCAGTAGCAAACCATAGTAGAAACAAATATGGCTTTGCTTCCTCGGGTCACGTAACTCCTACAAACAGGGGGACATTCGTTGCACTTTTGATCCGAGGAAAGCACCACATCGGACCAGAAACCTCGATGCAGGCATTAGCCGTGTAGTCTCAGACATCTCTCCTATAGGGGATTTCGCACCATTGACATGTGACCTTCACTTCAGATGTGGAGGGAGGCCAAGGAATGGTTATCCTCCACAATAGAACTGCCAATTCCTATTATGTGACCAAAGTCCACACACCGCACACCAGCATCCTGTGATACAGATAACATGAACCACCTTACTCTTGGTTAGATCAAGTTTCGGTCTCTTCGTCAGTGCCATTGTTGTCCAGGGAGTTGCCGAAATAAAGTCAACAGCGCATACACCATTAGCGAATTGTACAGCGTCATCACAAACCTCCAACACAAGCGCATTATCTGGTACTCTGATCAGTGTCCGCTTACTTCCATCCACAATGAATGTCTTCTGCTCCATCATGTTGACTCTTAATCCTGACATTGTCTTCATCACTGAATCACAGTGCATTGCTGATACTCCAGATGAGAGTATATCACCTTCGTTACGATAATTTTAAAAAGAACCGACAACACCGTCATGGCGAAAGCTGTGTACTAAGTTTGAGAGAGTCATACATGCCAAGAGCCTTCGATTCTGCAGCGTTAAATCACATGTAGGATTCCAATGGGATCCCAATACCTATTGAGAACCAGCAGCTTATTCGTGGTTGTATTTACAATCCACCAAACCAGAAGTGGGAGCAGATATCCTCCTTATTAACAACATTCAAGAACATTACTGAGCTGCTACTTGAGTACAAACTTGTCACAGGGATTTCAGTGTACCACAGATAAAATGTGTAGATGACACTCCATCAGACAGATATCAGGTGTTTCCTTCTTGCATACGTCTTGGTAGCTGGCAAACACAAAACCATTCGCATACTGGAGGAAAAACACAAAAGATTTAATTTTCACGCTGGAGATTCCCTCAACTGAAATAAGCGTACCGAAATAGTTTCCTGGAAGCGATCACTGAATGCGCAACTGTCTTTTTAAACTGAGCTTCAAATGTGCACGAAAAGTCAAAGGTTTTCGATCAGTCGGGATGGTTAATTGGGATGCCTTTTCTGTCTTTCTCTATGAACTGGGACGGATGCTTTATGTCTTCATGTCAGCAGGAGGCAATAAACAGCTTTTATTATAAGTTGTATCCGTGCATGGAGATAGTTACTATCCGGGAAGCAGATAAAACATAAAAGAAAAAGGCTATAGAATTTGCAACACACGAACTACGAAAGAAAAGAAAAAGGAAAGTATGTAATGGTGACTGAAAGCTGGGCTGAAGAGAATCGCCTACTGTAGCGCCCAAAAAGATAACTCTTATCTTTCGTGTACAATTTACTTGTTGACCGATTGTACATTACTCCTTCTTGTTTTAAGCTTACAACCGGCTCGACACACAACTGCCTTGTTAGTCCCCGCGCTCACGTGTACGCTCTTGCCTCGCTTCATCCGTCCGCTTCTTGTTGTAGCCCATCGAATACAGTCCGCTGTGTCCGACTCCAATTGCCTTCTGATATCCGCGCTTAATTCCGCGCATCGTCTCGGACTAGTATTAACTAGTCCTACAAATTGGTGACCCCGATTCGCACGCGCGAATTCAACATCTTTTCTCATTCATATTTTTTGGTGAGTTCGTTCCTTTTTCTCGATTATATACTTGTATTCATTTGTTGCTTGCGTAATTTTAGTACTTTTATCGTATTTTGTTCGTTCTTTATCTTTCGACTCACATTTCGAGTGTGACATCTGAGTCGTTCCACAAGGTAACCATGCATACTTTGGCTGTTCCAAGTTTCATGGAACACAGTCCAGAAGTTTGGTTTAAGATATTCGAGATCGAACTAGAAAATAAGGGCATAACGGCGGACCGTCCAAGGTACAATCAGCTAGTCCCACGCCTTCCTACGTCGGTAGTGACGCTGGTTGAGGACATTCTGATGTGCCAATCGAATGAGGCAAAGTATGAAACGATGAAGCAAGCGATATTGAAAGAGTTACGACCCAGCGCACGAGCACGATTTGAGCAGCTCAATGGTCTCAAGCTTGGAGATCGCAAGCCGTCGGCATTGCTCCGCGAACTTCAGCGCATCGCTGGTCCCTTATTCTTGAGCGAAGAGGGGATAAAGGAGCTGTGGTTTGCACGTCTCCCAGAGCCACTGCCGGTAATGCTGTCCATGTTTATAGATGCATCCCTGAAAGACTTAGCTACCAAGGCAGACGCTGCGTTCGAACGTTTTCCGCAGCAGACGACCAGTAACTCCGGTGACGTATTCTCACCGATGAAAACCGAATCCCATGTTTTTTCCCAGTCGCTAGACCGATCTGACTGTAAAGACGAGGAAATTGCGCTACTTCGCAGCAGGATAGCAGCACTGAAGGCTTCGAAGCAGCGGGTGCCATGATCAAATGCTGACCACGTTTTGGCTACCGTTCATTGCGGCTCGTCTGTGCCTGCACCGAGTACGTCACGTTCGGCACGAAAGCGCAACTTTTTCCTTACAAGGTCTCAGTCAGATAACGTCATACCCATCGAAGAAGTATGTTGGTATCACCGCCAATACGGTGGAAGAGCTAGACGTTGTCGGGCTCCCTGCATTAGGCACGACCCAGGGAAAACGAATAGCACGCATACGAGCACCACAAACGTATCATTCAGTAGCCAAGCAAACCGACTGTTTTACGTTAAGGATCGACGCTCTTCCACCATCTTCCTCATCGACACGGGAGCGGAAGTCAGCGTCATCCCAGCGACCGCTAGCGACAAGCATTCGGAGCCTACGTACAATTTGCGTGCGGCCAACGGTTCTCCGATAGCTTCATTCGGTCAGCGCATGATGAACCTGAACCTCAATCTTCGCCGAGATTTTCAGTGGGTCTTCATGGTTGCGTCTGTACCCTTCGCAATTATCGGTATTGACTTCCTCCGACATTTTGGGTTGCTTGTTGATGCTGGTCGCCACAGACTTTTAGACGACCGTACGAAACTAGGTGTTGATGGTATCCTTTCAGATGCCCGATAATCAGCCCTGTATTTCGGATCGCAGACGCACCGTCCGACTACTTGAGCCTCCTCTCCGAATACCCGCGACTGGTTCGACCGGCTGCAGAGCTTCCACCAGTCACGACAGAGGTCGCTGACCACATAGTTACGCGCGGTCAACCAGTTAGCGCACGGCCAAGACGGCTTGCTCCAGACAAACTACGGGCAGCACGAGCCGAATTTGACCACATGCTTCAACTTGGTATCGTCAGACCGTCCAACAGCCCATGGGCGTCGCCTCTGCACATGGTCCCCAAGAAGCTCATGGGGCGTCCTTGCGGTGACTATCGATCCTTGGATACGGTAACCACGCCTGATCGCTATCCGATCCCACACATAGTGGATCTCACCGCCATTCTGGTGGGTAAAAATATCTTCAGCAAAATCGACTTGGTCCGCGTAACCAACCAAATTCCGGTAGCCGAAGAGGACATCGCTAAAACTGCCGTGACGACTCCATTTGGTTTGTTCGAGTTTCTGCGCATGCCATTTAGCCTGAAGAACGCCGCGCAAACTTCTCAGCGTTTCATCGACCAAGTTTGTCGCGGCTTAGACTTCGCTTACGCGTATCTTGACGTCATATTAATCGCAAGCTCTTCACGAGAAGAGCACATACGCCACGTACGAGCACTTTTTGTTCGTTCATCCCAACAAGGGGTGACGATCAACGCAGAAAAGTGTTCGTTTGGTGTCGATGCAGTCAATTTCCTGGGACATCGTATCTCTTCTGCAGGCGTCGTGCTACTGCAGGATAAAATTCTAGCCATCATCGACTACCCCGAGCCTCATTCTTTCAAACAGCTCAGGCGTTCTGATGGCCTTGTTAACTTTTACCGACGATTTATACCCAACTGCGCCTCGCTGATGCAACCCCTCACGGACCTTCTCCGAGGGAAACTCAAGAAATTCGAATTTCCTACGGTAGCACGCACTGCTTTTAAGTCGCTGAAAGAGGCTATCGCCAACATAGCTTCTGTAGCGCATCACGATCCGGCCGCCCCACTGTCCCTCAGTACTGACGCCTCGGAGGTGCCAGTCGACGCTGTTTTACAGCAACGCGTATCCGACACGTGGCAATCCTTAGCGTTTTTCTCCAAACGCCTACAACCTACCGAATCTCGCTACAGCACGTTCGGTAGAGAACTACTAGCCGTATATCTAGCGATACGTCACTTTCGACATGTCCTGGAAGGCCGCTCCTTTGTCGCCTTCACTGACCAAAAACCCCTGACTTACGTGCTCGGCTCGACTACCGACCGATACTCTCCTAGAGAGCCGCGCCACCTTGACTATATCGCTCAGTTTACGACCGATATACGGCATGTCTCAGGTGTGCACAACTCCGTCGAAAATGCACTTTCCCGCATCCAAGCTATCTCCGCTGACGCCGGCACTGCTATCGACTTGGCAGCCATGGCCACAGCACAACTCAACGATCCTGAGCTTGATCTACTACGCAGATCTCCCTCACTGGATATACGATCCGTTCCGCTGACATCATCAGACGGAACGATACTCTGCGATTTATCTCTGGGCACTCCGCGCCCAGTCGTCCCACGTGAGTTTCAGCAGACTGTGTTCGACGCGTTGCACGGCTTGTCTCACCCAGGCGTTCGTGCATCGGTTAAACTCGTGACCGCACGATTCGTTTGGCGCAATGTTAATCGGGACGTCCGTATTTGGGCAGCTGCTTGCCTTCCGTGTCAACGCGCGAAGGTACACAAGCACACGAGAAGCCCATTAGGCACGTTTCCGACGCCAGACGCACGTTTTCATCACGTGCACGTCGAACTCATAGGTCCTCTGCCGCCTTCCAAAGGCTCGGTATATCTACTGACCTGCATCGATCGATTTACTAGATGGCCTGAGGCCGTCCCCATCCCAAATTGTTCCTCGGAAACAGTAGCGAAAGCTTTTCTGGAGCGCTGGGTAGCACAATACGGCTGTCCCGCCATCGTGACCACCGATCGAGGGTCACATTTCTCGTCGACATTTGCCATGTTGCTTAAGGATTTAGGCTGTCGCCACGTCCAAACGACGGCGTATCATCCGGCCGCTAACTGCATGGTGGAGCGTTTACACCGCCAGCTGAAGGCAGCGCTACGTGCGCACGCAGATCCTTCATGGTCTGAAACGCTTCCCCTCGTTCTTCTAGGCTTAAGAAACACGGTTAAAACCGATTTCGACGCCACACCAGCGCAGCTAGTCTACGGTTGCACGCTGCGGTTGCCCGGACAGCTGGTAGCACCAGCCCCATGTACCTTTGACTACGGAAGTTACACTGACCGATTGGCTCACCAGATGCGTGAGCTACGTCCACCCGCTCCTCGATCGCAGAAGACACGAGTGTACGTGCCCGAGAAGCTGTCTACTTGTTCACACGTCCTTCTTCGCGCAGACGGTGTACGACAGCCTCTTCAGTCGCCGTATATAGGACCCTTCAAGGTGCTGCATCGTGCGAGTAAGGCGTACACTATTGACCGCGGTGGTCGACGCGAAGTCGTCACCATCGACCGTCTAAAACCCGCCTTTTTGGAAGAAAACCACTTGCTTACTTCGTCTAGTAGTGCATCGTGCGACGTCACAACTCACCGTACCAATTTTCCGCATGCTATTGAAGTCCAACCAGACCACGATCACGGTCTGCAAGCTTCAGCAGTCCCGACATCACCCGAACCTAGCCCGCCGCCTCCCACGACCAATCGCCGTGGTCGGGAGGTACGTAAGCCCGTTCGCTTCTCCGACTACGTATAATGTAAATACTTTTAACTTTGTAGATATTGTATATATTTGCCCCATTTTTGGTAGATTAACGTTTTGAAAACAAACAAAAATATCAAAAAACCCCGTAAAACCTTTTTTGAAAAAATTATTCAAAAACCAAAAAATATTTACACACGCAGCTCATTTGTTTGTTCTTTTCGGCGTTTTCTGCGCGTGTTTTTCTATTTTCTCGTCTTTACATGCCCAAACCCTCCCATTCGATCGACTGGCCCACACGAGGAATGTTTTCGAGGACCCTGACGCGAACACTGGTCGCTTCTCCGCTTGACGAGGATCGCTTCTTCGCGGGACGAGGGTCACTTCTCCGCGAGACGAGGGTCACTTCTCCGCGGGACGAGGATCGCTTCTTCGCGGGACGAGGATCGCTTCTCCGCGAGACGAGGGTCGCTTCTCCGTGGGACGACGGTCGTTTTCTTCGTGGGACGAGGGTCGTTTTGGCGAGGGGCGGGGTGCGGCGGGGGGAGAGACCACTCCCAAGCGCACCGTTCGGCAGCAGCGGAGGTTGAGGTCCTGTCGGCCTTTTTCTGGGCTAGCCAGTTTTTGTAGTCCGACAAGCCCGCTCCAACGGCTCGCCGAAATGCACCCTGCCCTGCATTCAATAAATAACAAATCATAAACGGCACAGCGGACTCCGACTTCCGACGAACCCCCATTTACACGAACGCACGCCCATTTTTACTCGGCACGATTTTGCCTTACGAACCTCGTTTCAACATTCCTTTTCTATTTCGAAGGCTTTCTATGTTCAGCCTTCTAGGGGGGAGCTCTGTAGCGCCCAAAAAGATAACTCTTATCTTTCGTGTACAATTTACTTGTTGACCGATTGTACATTACTCCTTCTTGTTTTAATCTTACAACCGACTCGACACACAACTGCCTTGTAAGTCCCCGCGCTCACGTGTACGCTCTTGCCTCGCTTCATCCGTCCGCTTCTTGTTGTAGCCCATCGAATACAGTCCGCTGTGTCCGACTCCAATTACCTTCTGATATTCGCGCATCGTCTCGGACTAGTATTAACTAGTCCTACACTACCCCGTGAGATCGATCGACCAGACGAACGCGTTTTTAAACACCCAGCTCATTGTAACTTTGCCTCAGAGTTGAGAGCACAGTGTTTCGGCGGCATTACCTGGCTACGTTGGCACCTTTGTTGTTAACACGTTTTTCGTGGTCAAGGCTTTTGGAATTTTGATTTTTCCTCGGCTGGGCTAGAATTTTTGCGGATAAGTTTTTGGGTGTTTAATTCGGAATAGCGAGAAAAAGTGAAGGTCTAACAGTTACCTCACCCCAGACGAAGGATTATAACAATCAGGGACTCAGTAGGATTGCGCAGAAGACACCACGTGAATTACCCCAAATCCGACGAAAATTAGGGCATAACTCAAACTTTCCTTTGATGATGCAGAGACCGGCTATCGTAGAAGAAATCAGGCTCAATAGTGCGTATCACACTTTATGTGAGGAGTGCAATGTCGGTAATAAAACCGAGAGTCTTCTCGACTTTCGCGTGCACGAACTCAGCGCAAAGAATTTCATCTGATGTGTGAGGATACCTGATAAAGCATA